AAAACTGGTTTGGCTCAGTGGATAGAGCGTCAGCCTGTGGACTGAAAGGTGCTGGGTTCGATTCCAGTCAAGGGCATGTACCTGGGTTATGGGCACATCCCCAGTAGGGGGTGTGCAGGAGGCAGCTGATCGATGATTCTCTCATTGATGTTTCTAACTCTCTATCCCTCTCTTCCTCTCTGTAAAAAATCAATAAAAATATATTAAAAAATAAAATAAATTAAAAAATTAAAAGGCAACTCCAAAAAGCCCTGAGATAACCCTTAGCAGCCTCTTTCTCTCATATCATATAGCTCACCGATAGCAAATTTTTTTTTTACTTAAATTCAAAATATCTCCAGAATCAACCATTTCTCACTACCTCTACCCAAAGCATTTTAATCTATGTATTTCTGTTCCTGCACCTCCTTCTATGGCTTTTAAAATTGCAGCCTGGGCAATTCTACTACAATATCACACCAAATCAATCCCTTGCCCAAAATGATGCAATAGTTACCCACGTCAGTGGGAGTAAAGCCACATTTTTATAGTGGCCATCTATCATAATTTGGTGATGCATCACTTCTCATCCAACCTCTCTGACTCATCACTCCCTTCCAGCCACACTGGACATGAGCCGGATGGCATGGGATTTCATCATGCTGCTCAAAATGATGTGTAACTTACAATTTATTAGTGCTTATTTATGGAATTTTCCATTTGGTACCTTGAAATGTGGTTAACTTCAGGTAACTGAAACTATGGAAAACAAAACAGTTGATAAGGGGGGACTACTGTATACTATTTAGCAAAGAGAATAAACAAACTACACCAAAATGCAAAATATAGAATGTCATATCCTATATAATAAAGAGGTAATATGCAAATTGACCAACACACAAGTTGACTGCCCCGATATGGTCAAAGATGGCCGCCCCCATGTGGACACAAGATGGCCAGCAGGGGAGGGCAGTTGTGGGTGGTCAGGCTGACAGGGGAGGGCAGTTAGGGGTGACCAGTCCAGCAGGGGAGCAGTTAGGCATCAATCAAGCTGGCAGGGAAGTGGTTAAGAGGTGATCAGATTGGCAGGCAAAAGTGGTTAGGGGCAATCAGGCAGGCATGCCAACAAGTGGTTGAGAGCCAGCAGTCCTGGATTGTAAAAGGGATGTCTAACTGCCAATTTAGGCCTGATCCCACTGGGGGGCAGGAGGGAGTGTCCCAGATTGGAGTTGATGCAGCTGGGCTGAGAGACTCTCCCCCACCCCTTCCCCCCCCAAGGGGGCGGGGGGGGGGAGGAGCTGTGCATGAATTTTATCCACCGGGTCTCTAGTATATAATGTTGAGTAATAGACATCAGAAAACATATTGCAGGATTCCCATTTACAGAAAACTTAAAAATAACCTATAAATGTGGAGGTCAAGATAGGCGTGTGATAGTAGGATAGACTCCTGGTGTGCTGGTGATACTCTGTTTTTGACCTGGGTGCTGTTTAAGCCCATATCAACTTGATGGATCTGTGCACTTTTCTGTGTATATTATATTTCAATCAAAGGTGTTTAAAAATCCAACTGAGTTCCTGCTAGTAGCATGGCAAACTTAGACAAATGAAGTTGTTTATTTCTCTTTTCCAATTTATAAATGCTCAAGAGAATTTAGTGTGTGTAGAATTAAGGATTGAGAGCAATGACGTCTGTCAATCCGTTGGCAGAGAAGTGAACACAAAATTTCCCCTGCAGGCCTCTGCTATTAGGCATCTCAATCTTACCCTACTGGATCCTTGCTGTCTCCATCTGCTGCATGTTAACACACCTGAGCAGCATCTGGGTTGAAATTTGCCAGACTGTGCAAGTGGTTTAGCAATGTTTACACCCAGGGAGCTAGTCAGAGTGTTGAAGTATTTAGGACTGAATAGCAGAGCGTCAACAGCAAATCCTGTCTCTAAAAGTGATAGGCCAGCTCAGTAACATAATGCATTGAACAAGGATTGAGGACAGGGCCTGAGGGAGGCTGGTTGAGGGGATGAACTTCCAGGGACCCAGCCATGGACCCAAATCCAGGGGAAGACATGATGAAATCATTTTAGTTTTTCAAAACTAAACAAGGAAGACTTCACTTTTGCTGCCTTTGATATTGGTATTGCATTTTGCTAATTATAAGACAAATTTCATTCCTTGCTGAGATACTCTAAAGTCTTGATGAGGTAGTTTCCCATCAGTTACTCAGGCTCCTTGAGACCTGAAGGTAAACTCTGGCAGATGACAATCCTGTTAAGCCCTGCCCTGGCTCAAAGCAATCTGTTTTCCAACCTACACAATGCTGTTTAGACTGCATGACTGCAGGGAGTAGTATACACAAGTAGAAATCTCTTTCTATGTAGTCCCCAACCTCAAAGAAAAACGAATATTGGAATGAGACGTTAGAATTAGATAGGAAGAAAATAATTAATTTGTATTCAGAGTCCTTGACAAATGAACACATTTGTATTGATCCGTTAAATCTGTTAACTTGCTCAAAATGGCATTATTTTTTGGGTGGATATAAAGGCTCTGTCTTTTGTAATCCATGTTAATCGTACCAGTCAGATAGATCTTTAAAGAAATTCACCAGCTGGTGCTGAAAAAAGATTGAAAATCCAGTCCTCACTCTTAGCTACTTACTGACTCTGTCTCCTTTGTCGCTGAGAAAATAGAGGCAATCAGAAAACTGTACAACTCCATCCACCACATATACCACTGTTGGGCATCTTCTACTGATGTACTCTACTTTTTCTCCTCTTCTAGATGAAATGCCCTTGCTCCTATCTGAGCTCAGCCCATCTGTTTGTGATTTATGATAGGGTCGTAGTTTTATTAAGGATCATATATAATAGTTAATGTTTTAGGCTTTGTGTGTCATATGGTCTATGTAATAACTTCTCAGCTATGTCTAGTGAAAGTAGCCATGGGCAATATGTAAACAAACTAGAGGCCCAGGGGCGTCCCTTAGCCTGGCCAGCACTCTCCAATCCGAGACCGCTCCGGGGCTGTCTGACTGCTGGTTTAGGCCCCATCCCTGTGGATATCCCTCTCAAAATCTGGGACTGCTTGCTCCTAACCACTTGTCTGCCTACCAGCTTGATTGCTGCCTAACTGCTCCCCTGCTGGCCTCATGGCCCCCAACTGCCATCTGCTGCTGACCTGATCACCCCTAACCACCTCTTCTTCAGCCTCCACCACCTTGGCTTTGTCCAGAAGATAGGAAGATGTCCGGTCTCCTGGTCTAATTAGCATATTACCCTTTTATTAGTATAAATAAGTGTGGTGATCCAATAAACTTTATAAAAACAAGTAGAGGGCCAGACCTGGCCCCTGGGATGTAGTTTTTTGAGCCCTGAACCAGATTTTACTGCCCTCACCTACTCAAGAGCATGTTCCAGCAATTCTCATGCTCTCTTACGTCAGCACAGTTTTCCTTCTATAAGATCATTCCAACCAGCATACATGTCTATCATTGTTGCTTCTTTCTTAACCTCACTCACTTCACCCTTCCAGCAGTCTTTTCATTGCTCTATTTCTTTTTTATAAAAAAATTCTCAAAAGAGCAATCCCTTTTGGCTTCTTATGTTGTCTCTGCCAACATTCCCCAGAGCCTACTCCAATAGGCTTTTGACCCCAGCACTCCAGTGAAGTTGCTCTAATCAAAGTCACTAGTGACCTCTATAGCATTAAAACCAGTGGTTAGTTTCTGGTCTTCATCTTACACGATCTAAGGCAGTATTTAACCCAGGTGATCACTCTCTTCTTCTTTCTGACTCAGAGGAAAGATGTGAAAAACTACTTTTTTCCCAGGTCTATTGGAGAGGTGCCCCAAGGGAGCAGGGAAAGTTGATCCTTGAGGGGTCAGAAGGGCTGGAAAATTATGCTGTGTAACCAGAGGTAGGACTATTGTTTAATTGCAAGATATAATGTGTTTTTAGTCCTGCTACAAAGAGAAAAATTAAAAGACACATTTTTCCCCTCCATATTTTAAAGGAGTCATTTGCCTTAAAGAATAAATAAGACTTCAATTTCAAGTGATTTATGGAAGAAAGAAAGCATTCAAACCTGAAATGATATCTTTAGGAATAATATTTTTAAGTCCTGATTCTGATTAAAAAATTTAATTGACCTAAGATTTCTCATATATCTATGAAATTGTTGTAATTAAGCAATTTCTTCCAGCTTTTTGTCTTCCCAGAGCATCCCATGAAGAAGTAATTTCCTCCCCCCTTCTTTCCTTCCATTCCTGTGCTATTCTCTCACATGGATCATCATATGACCTATGATAAATTTACTTCTGTGTGCTTATCTGTGTATTTCCTCCAGAATGCTGGCTTTTGGTATTCTAGAATGGTGTATCCCTAACTCTGGAATTGTGTCTGATACAGGGCAGGCATATAATAAATGTGTGTTGAATGCATTAATGAGCCAGACTCTCTTTCTAAGCAATTCTTCTGGAGAAATTTGACTTTCAGAAAAGATCAGGTGTCTATTGGGAGTTCTACATAATGAGAGAAGCTGTCTCCTTGTTTAGCTGGCACTACACAACATGTATGTTGTCCCTGGGGATTAAAGGTGTGATGTTATGTGACAATACTGAGAATTAAAAGGATGGGGAATACGTTTTCAGAATAAAATGAGTTTGAATATTTTAATCTTCTGGCTGAGCAATTTTAGTGGGGGAAAATACCCTATAGACGATCACAGCCAGGAAAGGCAAAGCATACTCTGCAGCTTAATTAATGGAATGTAGTTTTACCTCTATTTTCTTTTGCAAATGCATTGAATCAAATGCCTTATTCTTAGTGAAAAATATCCATAATCCTAAGTAGATGCCACTACTTTAAAGTGTTTGATTATACTTCTACTGGGCAGTTGAATTATTTTTAGGTGGAATTTGAACACCTTAAATATGACAGAAACTCAAAAGTCTTTCATAGGCATTGTACAATATTATAAAATTCCGATCAAGGTGACAGCTTCAAAGTTTCTATGCATCATACCTTGGCCACTTCTTCTTGGAAAGCCACGAGGTTCAAATAGGAGATGTTCACTAAGTCAGGCCCATACACCACCGTTATCATACGATGTTCCAGACGTCCGATGTTCCCCACATCCAAAAGTTCCCGTAACTTGGGGTCCTGGATAATAAACGTTGAAAAAAGTTAGTATATAACTGGAGGCTCCAACATGGTAGCATAGTTTCCAAAAATTTTGAACTAGAATGCCTTCAAAGCAAAGTTGACTTTTGTTCTTATTACAAAAATGGTATGAGTCGAAGTCCCTCCACTCCCAGTAGGGCCCAGAGAGAAGAACTAACATGTCCAAAGGATGTGGAGAAAGAATTTCTGGCTCAAGGGCTATGGCCCTTTTGGCATTATACTAAATGAAAAACAGACGCTGTATGATAGCACTTAATATGTGGATGCTTAAAACGCCCAACTCATAGAAACAGAGCATACTGGCTTTTGGATGCAGGAAATTTGCAGTCTTTTCAGAGCAAGTGACATTCTCTGAAACATCCTAAATAAGAATTCCTTGCAGATATAGTCCTGCTGGGAGAAGGAATTTTCCAAACCTTCTGAATTCAAAGTAAGACCTGATTCAGTGAGCTTTGCTGAATTTATTTTCCTTTCATAGGACAGGCCTTGAAGGAAATGAGAGGTCCAGGAAGAAAATTAGCATCAAATCAATCACTTGGCAAATTGGCAACCAGCTTCTGAGGAAAGAATTAACTTGAATTCTCATTTATTTAGTCAAATGCTAGGCCAACAGGACTGGATTACTTAGGGTTGTTTTTCTGATCTGCCTTTCTTTGTGCAGTGTCTGCACAAAGAAAAAGCGAACTTAAAAAAAGAGAGAAAGAAAACAAAGAAAATGTATCCAGCTGTGCTATTTGGTGCCCTTACTTCTCTCTTTAGTTAATAAAGCTTTCTTCTTGACTTGGCTGCCTGAAGAGGAACATTTTCAGGTAAGTTACAAAGAGAGAAAAATCCCATTTCACAGCTGTGTCCAATTATAGCTGAAACTTCCACTTGACTAACCAGTTGAAAACTTTATCAAGTACATCAGGCCACCTATAAAGATCAAATGCTAGCACACAAAAAAACAAACAACAACAACAAAACAAAAACAAAATAAAACAACCCATCAATTTGCATGACCTAGAAAAGGAGAAAAATACAATGAAAAACTTATATAAATAAACAATAATAGCAATGAGGGGACATTTTTAGCATTCTAGCATTAATGAAAGATTAGAAAAGAATGCTCAAGAAGGGATGTTTTGAAGGCTAATTAAAGAATCACACACACACACACACACACACACACACACACACACACACACACACACAGGCTCTGGCCATTCTGACTCAGTGGGTATAGCATCGGCCTTGGGACCACAGGGATGAGGGTTTGATTCCCGGTCAAGGACGTGTACCTAGGTTGCAGGTTCCCAGCCCCAGTAAGGCATGTGGGAGGCAACCAATTAATGTGTCTCTCTCACATTAATGTTTCTCTCTATCTCTCCTATTCCTCCCTTTTTTCCACTCTATGTAGAAATTAACGGAAAAAATATCCTCAGGTGAGGATTAAAAAAATAAAAAAGAATGACATTAGCTGCTCTGTGAAATGACTAATTGTATCACAGTATTTTTACACCATTGAAGTAGGTTAGAAGAGAAAATATAGTTAACCAGTAAATTATATATATATATATATATATATATATATATATATATATATATATATATATACTATTTAAAATTTTTTGTATACATGAAAGAAAAAGAATTCTCAGAAACCATCTAAAACTTGTAATTATAAATTATAAATCACAACCTTTAAATAATCCATCAGTATCCTCACTTCTATAACATTTAATGGGAACTTTTTGGTGAATGAATGGACTTTAAACTTTGGAGAGCCACATGACTCACTTCCTAGATTTTTCCTTTCCCAAGCATTTTCTATCCAGTCTATCCAACTTTACCACCTAATTTTCATGTCCATTCAAAACACTCTTACCCACCTATTAATTAATTGATTAAAGAGTGACACCTTTCAGAACTGCAGAGACTAGGTGTGGGTGTCAGGGAGTTCACCTGAGTTGTCCTTGAGCTATAGGAACTCAAGGCAAGTACAGAAACCCAGAGAAGGTGACCAGAATATAAAATAAATCTGGAAAAGGGCTTCTGGAACTCTTCTATCCTGAACAATATTGTTAGGTACAGGTACCAGGAACTTATAAGAAAGGTGACCAACACTTTATGTCATCTCTAAAAACATTTTTCACTAATGGTTGTTTATATGTGTTTTTAAAAAACTATTGGCTTTATGTAATGAAAAAAAATTAATGAAGTGTTTAAAAGTGATGCCTGGAATTGTTAAAATTAAGCAAGCTACCAAATGCTTATGATGATGATTGGATCTGGAAAATAGTTATCTGAGAATTCAACATGTAAGTCTCTCTGTGTTGAGATGGTTAATATTTGTACAACAAATAATAAAAGATTATTGAGTATGAAATGAAGAAACAGATTTGAACAATTTTTTAAAAAAAATTATGTAGTTCTGGAAGTAAATAGAAAAATCTTTTAAAGTATACCATAAAAAGTTCCTTACTAATGTACTTCTTTGGTGATGGATCATAATAACCTTTAAAGTATATTGTTTTTCTCTTCTACCACCCATCATTTTATTTTTCTTGAAAACTACACATTTTGTGCATCTATTTATTTTTTAATAACACCTGATTTGGTAATATTAGAATTCTTTCCCTTTAGAAATGATTTCACTTTTCTTTTTACCTGTACTTCCCAGTTTTCTCATTCTGAACACAGCAACCCAAGCTAACATGATGGCTTCAAACCTTATTCCTCATTATTGAGCATATTGATACATGTGCGGGTCTACTGGAAAAGATATTTGTCCTTTCAATTAACAGAATTGCACTCAATTGCTTTCAGCAGGGGGATCCTCAGAGATGAGGCGGAAGGGGATTATCTAGGGGGATAAACAGCAAAGGCACGAAGTTTTGGAAGGACCATAGGGAGGAAAAAATTTAATGGAGATTCCAAAGAAATGGTTGTTTTGAGGGTACCTCATTCTCAGATGGGAGTATGAGTGAGTGCACTTAAAAATCAAACAAACAAAATTTAAAAAGTAACAACAAAAATCTACAGACAATTTGAATGAAAACCACCTCCTCCAAAAATCTACAGACAATTAGAATGAAAACCACCTCCTCCAAAAACCAAGTCTGGGTGTTTTTTTTTTTTCTTTTAAGGGATTTTATATCTGAGCATTTCTTTTTGATGGGACCTCCTGATCAGTTTTCAGAGAAGGATTTACTTACGCAGGTTACTACTAAGCTGAGATACATTTCTCGGATCCTGCAATTGATATAAATTCCCAGATATTTTAATAAAGAAAATAAACGATTTGTATAACTCTGTTCAACTTCTTTGTGGGAAAGCACTAAAGAATATAGCTCAAAAAAACAGAGGAGGTGAGAAGAACTTGACATTGCAATTTTCACTAAGCTGTCAAGCAAAACTTTCTTTCCCTGCAGACTCCTAGATATGTCCCACTGCCGGAATTTACCAGACCATTTAAAAGTAAGGAATCCTGGCAATTCTAGTTTAATGGCACATTTAAAAGTTAAGACCTAGATAATCTCTACTCCCATAAGAGTTACAAAATAGAGATTCTGACTAAATAAACTCACTTTCTTTCAAGCACCAGGATTTGTGATTTACTTCATGTCCGTTGCAAAGTAAGTCAAGGTGCTCAAGTTAACGATTCCCAGGTGGAGGTAATAGGCCACTGAAGAGAGCAGACTCTGCTACACAGGGACTCCACTACAGCCTGTGTAGCTGTAATTATGCTATGGCATTCAAAATAGTATGGATTCATGGACGGAATGAACACAGGCTAAAGGATAATTTTTAAGAAGTAAAGGCCAGCTTCAACCTTCATTTCTTAATGACTTTAGTTGTTATTGTTAATTCTCACCTGAGGATTTTTTCCATTGATTTTTATTTATTTATTTATTTGTTTATTTATTTTTCTTTATTGGTTAAGATATTACATATATGACCTTAGCCCCCCATAACCCCCCACCCACCACTCTTGCCCTCACCCCCTGTTGTCTGTGTTCATTGGTTAGGCTTATATGCATGCATACAAGTCCTTTCTAGAGCAAGTAGAAGGGAGAGACAGAGAAACATTGATGTGAGAGACACATTGATTGGTTGCCTCCCACATGCACCCCTGACTGGTGCCAGGGATCTTGCCTGCAATTGAAGTATACACCGTTGACCTTGAATCGAACCCACGACCCTTTGGAGGGCCAATGCTCAAACCACTGAGAAAAACCAGTGAGGGCACCTTAATATATCAGATATCCAAAAATAAAAGAACTTTTTAAAACTACATTTCATTTTTTGTTGTTGCAGAAAATATGCCTTATTTATCTTTCATACCCATGAAATAGATCTTTACTGGTTTTAGGTCTATTGAACAACTTGTATGCTGGGTTAATTTTATTCCCAGCACTTAATGCAATCTTCTCAATCCAAGTTAGTTATATGGATGTAACTTTCATCATGCATAAAGGATCAGGTGTATGAAAGTCTTCTCATAGCACTACAACAGTCTGAAATGAAAACGATGATTCCTTGTTAAGTGACATTCATATGCTCCAGCTTTGCAGGGATAAAGCTGCCTCTGTGAAAGCTGAGCAGACTTTTCTTTATAGTTTTATTCAAATTTTATTGCAAAGGAAAGATAAAAACTTATGTCCAGGAAGATTCTCCATCAAGACCCTGAATTTAACAACTGCCTCTCAAAAAATAAGAAATAAAAAACAGATTAGCAAATTTCCTTGGTGCATATCCCCACCAAACTCCAGTGCAACGCGTACCCCCATCAAACTCTTCCCGTACACCTGGAGGTGCACCTACCACACTTTGGGAAACACTGCTCTAAATAAACAAGTTAATTCTATTCCATAATGCATAAAGATCAATAATGTGCTATCCCTTCAAAAACACAGGGATATAAAGCTCTGTATAACTCAAAGTGTGGAAGAGGTCTGATGTTTATTTTATAAGAAATAACTAGTGCATCTAGGTAA